GTTTAAAACATATGGAACTTTAGAACCAAAAATGGTACAGAAAAAAGGTCAACAGTTTCATAAACTAGAGTACATATGTATCTGTTGAATATATTTTTATATCAGATGCATTAACTTCAATTTTTGGCCTTGCTGTTTACTTCTGCTTGACCGGGCCCATAGTGCACCTTTAAACTTCTTGGTTTAGCTTTTTTGCACCAAGGACCAGTTCAAAGTCAGACAATATTCAATTCACCGACCAGCTTTTAAGTTGTGATGGATAAATACAACAAAATACCAACCAATGATACCAACATAAAAACTGTGGTATTTTAGTATAATAATAAACATTTCCAAAGACATCTGTTTTTTACTCATTTTGCAGCTTGTGGGTTTAATATTAGTGTTAATGTGTCATGTGACTGAGACAAACATCTGGACATGCGTCAAGAGAGAGTCATAGATGGATGTACCGGAGAGAATTTTGTAATTTTTCAAAATAAAACATTGTTCAGATTTGGATAATAAATAAAACTTAAATAATGTAAGTCATTTATTTTTTCTGTACAGCCCGGTACCAAACGACCCAAGGACCAGTACCAGTCCCCAGTCCAGGGTTTAGGGAGAGCTGGTCTAGTCAAAAAGCTTAATGATGAAAACTAAGGACTGTTGTCATAGTGATTAACATAAAACAATAACACGTTTGCAGGGGAAAAAAGTGCTGAAAACAGGAAGCACACAAAGATACAAAGGATGGGAGGGCATCTGACACACAGGGATACAGAGGATGGGAGGGCATCTGACACACAGGGATACAGAGGATGGGAGGGCATCTGACACACAGGGATACAGAGGATGGGAGGGCATCTGACACACAGGGATACAGAGGATGGGAGGGCATCTGACACATGAGGATGGGAGGGCATCTGACACATGAGGATGGGAGGGCATCTGACACATGAGGATGGGAGGGCATCTGACACATGAGGATGGGAGGGCATCTGACACATGAGGATGGGAGGGCATCTGACACATGAGGATGGGAGGCTGTGATGTGATTAAACATGTTTGATAAGTGTCCCTGGGAGTTAGCTTAAAATAGCTTTAGCGCTGTGTGGTGTTGACCCCTGCGGCTAAAGGTCACGACCCCTGAGGTAAAGGTCAGATTGTCGTCATGGTAACACCGCAGTAAACAACAAGGTGAGATGATGACATTTATCAAACAGCCTCAACCAGCGTAGCCTTAAAGACAAGATCTTTTCTTTCCGTAACACATATTTAGATAATCTGATACCTTTTAGTGTTTTGAAAATGTTTTCATTACTTACTAGTAGAGCCCGACCGATATATCGGTTGGCCGATATTATCGGCTGATATGGGCAACTTTAGGCATATCAGCTATCGGCCGATATGTTTGCTGATAGGGGCCGATATTTCACGTGGGCATGTTATACCTCGTTATAAAGCTTAGACTCTCTACATTCTGTTCATTTAATCCAATTTACAGACAGATAAATGTTCTAATATGTGGCTCCACATCAGTATTTATCTGCGGAGTCATTTGTCTGTGTGTGTCCGTACTGTCCCTGAACACACCACAGAGTCGCGTCACTCACGTGTGTTTGTTTACACCTGCAGACACAGATCCAAACACTGAGATTATATTCTTTTTACGGACAATCGGTTTGAGTCTGGATTAAAAGGACATTTATTAGTGCAGATTTGTGATGTGGGAGGAGCCTGTATGAGCGGTGAGTGTTGGAAATATGTCGACTCTGAAGCTAGTTTTTGTCATTTGTTATGGGTTAGCTGCTGTAGCTCCCGCACATAAACAGACTGTTTTCTATTGGTCTGTTCTAAAGTGACTATATTGGCCGTATATTTGTTACTGGACCTGCACTGATATGTAAATGAGCTGTGAATAGACGTGTGAATTATGACATTTGCGCATATAATTAATTACCGCGGCGCGCAGCGTATTTACGGCTAAAGGCTAATAGCGCTACTTTCTTTACTAGTTATGGGTCCGTCGTGAACGAAATGACTCTTAGAACCGGCTCTTTGAAGGGAACGACGGGAGCCTGATCCTTATTGGGAGCCGTGTTTTCTCTTTCTCTCACTTTTTTTCTCTTCACGCCGCGTGATTCGTGGTTTGACAGTGGCAGCGGCTAAAAAAGAAACTTTGAGAAATTTGCGTGTACGTAGGATTAAAAAAAAAAAAAATTAAAAAAACGAGCATATTTGACTGTAGTTTAGCATAAAATAAATAAGTCCCGGTTTAGTCCTTTTTCAGTCCTGGTTCAGACCTGGTTCAGTCCTGATTCAGTCCTGCTTTAGACGTGCTTTAGTCCTGCTTGCAACAAAACAATCTGAAGAGCCACTTGGGAGCCAAAAGAACCAGCAGCTTTTAGTGAGCCGAGCCAAAAGAGCCGGTTCTCTAAAAAGAACTGGAATACCCATCACTAGTGTCTAGAATGTGATGCAAAAATGCCATTAAGCCAACCTACTGTCTGTAAATATGATGTAAAGAGGCAGAATAACAATAAATGTTGCCTAAATAAACCCAATTTAAAATCCACCAGAGCCAAACCTAAGTTTTTTAAACAATTCAACATTTACAGTGAATTTTTACATCACTAAATATATCGGCTATCGGCAGCTCCACTTCCATTATATTGGTTTCATATCGGCCACAGCAAAATCCATATCGGTCGGGCTCTACTTACTAGTTTTTGAAACTGAGTCTCCCCTCATTGCTCTCCGTGTTAAGTCACTACCCCTTCAGAGCACTATTACAACACAGTCAGCAGTGTTCCAGAGTTATCCCTCATGCACCTTATGCATCCAGAACTTCCTAATTATTCACCAAGCTCTTTTCACACTCAGAGACCAGAGCAGAGGTTTGTGCCACAGTAAAGCTACTAACTAGCAAGTTAACAAGCACTTCCTGATTATTAAAGAATAAAATGGGAGCAGATATGGCATACATAAAGGTAATTTCATAACTGTTACCTAGCAACCATAATGTAAACAATGCCCAAAACTTGTCTAATGCAGCGTTCAGACTGCAGCCTGAAGTGACCCAAATCAGATTTTTTGGCCTCTATGTTCCTGTATCTGATCTTTTAATGACAGTCTGAACGGCACAGATCCGATTTTTTCAAAGTGTGACCCAGGACACTTGGATATGTGCTCCTGAAACCGATACATATCTGATCTTTTGACATGCGACTTCAGTCTGAACGGTCAAAGTGCATTCATCCACCTACACGTTATCAACAAGACACAAACGTCACTATTCTGCACTGAAGTAGGAGAAAATTGTTAATGAACTCTGTGTCACTGAAGTGAAGCACATCACCACTCACCACTCTTGGCTCCGTCTCCACATCCACATGTTCCTTTCAACGGACGTCGCTGTCGCTGTCCCACAAAACACCACGACCAAAAACCTCGTCCTTCTCCTTCTCAATCTCCTCCTTAAAACAAGTAAGTTGTTCATGTTCTGGCTCCAGTATGAGAGGAACTTTAAAATCTCCAGGTGCTCAATGCTGCGTCCATGTTTGGACAACTTCCGTAAACACAGAGCACGCTCACTGTGGTTGACGTCATTGTGTCTCCAGTGCACATGCGGGACACTTTCGGGCCGTTTACTTTTCACACAGGGGATCGAATACAAGTCGCATTTAATTGGAAATCTGAACGACCTCGCAAAAACATCGGATTTCACAAAAAAATCTGAATTGAGCATTAAGCCCTGCAGTCTGAACGCAGCCTAAGACTATGTTTACACTGAAACAAATCCACGTATCACCGTATCAAAAACAATCTGTGTCCACACACGTCGTTTCTGTGTCCGCAATCCTTCCCTATCCACACAACTTTGAGCATATTTGTTTACGTTTTACAGAAACGAAACTTAAAACCACATGACTCATTTGCATAAACTGAAAAAACAGCTCGTCCTTGTGCGCTGATGCGGTTCAGCTTCTGTTGGACTAAAGGACACGACTCAGTGGAATATGAGTGTTCTTTCTGTGACAGAGGGGTGTTATGTTGATGGTGAGTCTGTTCTGTGTTTCTGTCGTGTTGGAGATGGTTCATGTTAAACTTTTCAGAGATTATACGTCTGCAGGTCGTACACACAGACACACGTTTATATGAATGGACAGATATTCTAGCCTCTTAGTATTTTGGATGTGAATTACTTCGCAGTGCACAGAAATACATCAGTGTATCAGTGTTTTCAGGCGCCCACACAGTGCTGAATCAGATCTGTACAAACATGAATTCATGGGAGCTGGAGGCATCAGATCATTCCGTCTCTGGAGCCGTTTTCCATCAGATTAGTGTGAATGAGCATCCACAACGAAAACGACTCGAATTCGTACTAGTGTGGACGGTAGAGATGCGCGGATGGCGGTTACAGCCGCGGACTCCGCGGCTAAACCGCGGGTCGGGCGGATGACGTGACGAAAAATAATATTTTAATTAAATTCGGGCGGGTGGCGGATTCACTACTCAAATAAAAAACTCAGCAAATGGGAGGGGACCAAGCGGATGGTGGGCGGGTGCGGTTTTGAAAACTGGTCAAAAACTGTGGTTGCAAATGGATAGCGGGCGGACGATGAGTTTTGTGATGCGGTTGCGGATGAAAAAGTAGCCCATCCGCGCATCTCTAGTGGACGGGGCCGAACTCACACAAGAGTTATGATAAGACTAAAACAAACAATAACGCTTTGATTTAGTTAAATGAAGGTTTAAACTGTCAGGAAAATGTGCGTAAATTGTCTTTGCATTTTGGATGGAGTTTTCCATGTTGATGGGAATCTGTCTTCCAACTCAGAGCTACTTTCTGTATTTTTGTACTTTAGTTTTTGACTTTTCTCCACAAACTACCACTTGATGTAAAACTATGATCAATATTTAGTACAGGTACCACCAAACCAACACGTAAAAACCTGACACATGCACTGTAAAAATAAAGTTTAGACTCTGGACTAAAGAGGAGTGACACGTACCGAGGATGGCGATGACCTCGTCGTCCTGGATGACCTCCAGTGACCCCGACACCACGAAGCAGAGGGTGTCCACGCTCTCGCCCGCGTGAAAGATCAGGTCCCCGGGCGCACAGTGGGTGGTCTGAAACTGTACGGCCAAAGAACGCAGGCACCCGTCTGAGGCCAGGCGGAACGCTGGGTGCTCATTAAACACCTGAGGAAGAGGAAGAGAGGGGTGTTATATTTACCATTACACACAGTAAAGACCAACAGCAGTGTACTTTCACTTGTAGTTATATATTAGTTATTGGAGTTGTACATGTGACTGTGTAAGAGCAGAAATCTCTTTGTGGTGCTGTGAAACGAGTAAACATGAAACTACTTCCTGCCTCTACAGCACATTTAAACGTCTCTTTATGTAACGGCTTTGACTCATGGTGACTCATGTCAGAATCATTATGACCTGGTGTAATGTCAAATCTTTGATCTGGATGTGAGAGCCATGTGTCAATAAACAGGAAACACATGTTTGTAACTCAGGTGCATTGGCTTTGTTTTATTAAATATTCCAGCTCGATATATAAGTTGAACATTTACCACAGGATGAAGTCACACTTATGTTTAGTTCACATCTGCTTTTGGAAGTCTGCTTTTCACCAGAGTTTACATTCTCTGCTCCAATCATTTCAGACCAGGAGAGAGATGAGGTGTTGAATATTGACACCGATACTGAAAAATGCGCTGAATCAGATATCGGCTCCCAAATATCAGTTCAGCCGATATCTTGGCTGGACATACAGAGGGATTATACATCCCTTTGTGTTCTGTTGCGCATGTCTCCTGCAGAAAGAGCAGCTGTTCTGTTTGTGTCATGTCAGAGTCTTGTAGGACTTCAGCAGATTTCAGATTCTCCCAGGGGGCGGGGTTAAGTGTGTCAATCAGGACTGAATGGACGGATGACTACTGAAGTTTGAGTGCATACAGATCAATAAGACGTATCCCACTCAGTAATGTTCATTTAGCATCATAACTGATTTTATCAGACAGTGATAAACTGTTTTAGTGCTGACAACACACTCATTGGTGTTGCACAGTTAGGATTACGAGCACAGACAGCAGTGCTTTCTGCACTCAGGCGGTGTGCATCCGCTGTGCTGATAAACAAATAATCCATCATGAAATAAATGTAATAAGATTGTTAACTGGTTGGTGTTGGCCAGAAAGTCTCATGTTTGAATTTGAATTTACACAAAGCAGTTCTGTAATTACATGACAGGTAAATAAGAACTACATAACACAACCGGATCAGTTTGTACAGTTTTGGATCACATTCTAGCTGAAATGAGACAGAACTCTTCTCTTCTTCTCTCCAAACAGGCTGCTTCATTTCAAACTGTGAATCACTTTCAGACTGTACCAACCCGCACCAAAACAAACGAACGTGCCTTTACCTGAGAACAGTTTTCTCAAATGAGAAACAAATGTGAAATGACTCTAAACCTCTAACTACATCTGTACTCAACCTAAAACACACACTGACAGATGTAACCCTGTAGTTTGTGTCAGGTGCAGAGGACATATAGTACTTCTGTCCTCAGAGTGAGACCTGAGCTGGAGTCACATCCAAACAGAAGGTCAGAGTCTTTAAACAAGAGGAGAAAAGAGAGAGAGAGGAGAGAGGAGAGGGGGAAGAGAGAGGGACGAGAGGAAAGAAAGAGAGAGAGAGGAGAGGTGTGGAGAGAGGGACAGATATTTATAGAGAGCAGACCTGAGACGCCTGTTACACTGTTACTGTTACACTAGACACGTACAGCACTAATGCAGACTCAGCACTGTACCTGCAGGGTTAGAGAGAAGAGAGGGAGAGAGGAGAGAGAGGAGAGGAGAGCAGCAGGGAAGAGGAGCAGAGGAGAGAGAGAGATGGGCAGAGGAGCGAGAGGGAAAGGAGAGGGGAAGAGAAGAAAAGGTGAGAGGAGAGAAATAACTAACGTTCAACCTGGGCTCAGTATAAAACCATGAGATGTTGATTCACAGCTTAGCCAGGTTAGCCCGGTTTAGTCTGGTTTGACATGGGGTAGCATGGATTATTTTAGATTAGCCTAGTTAGGTTGGGCTTGCTTAATCAGTGTGTTTAGCCTGGTTTAGTCTGGTTTAACATAAGTTAGCTGTTACCTTGCGGTTGAGGTGGACGCAGATGTCGGCTCTCATGTCTTTGGGACAAATGGACAAAACCTGAAACACAAACAGACAAACACACACACTTAAAACTAACTTTTTTTTTTGCAATGAACAGAGTCTGTTAATTTTTGAGTTTCATTGTCTGCATCGTTTGATCCACCAGTCGTTACAACGTAATCTTTATTCTCCCATATTTAAGACGTCACTGCTCCAATCTAATCGTTTTTACCTCCCACTGTGACACACGCACTTCCTTCTCCAGATTGATTTTCTTAATTAGTGATACATGTAAGATTCAGCAGCGTCTGTACTCATTTTGGTACAAATGAATAAAAACACTCTGCTCTAGTGTGATGTGCGCACACCCACAAGAGGAGCAACAGCACGAGGCAGAGGAGGGACCAAGTTGTTGTTTTGCAAGTAAGTCTCAAGTCTTTGCCCTCAAGTCCAACTCAAGTCCGAAGTCAAATACAGGCAAGTCCAAGTCATACCTCAAGTCACTGGCCCATAAGTCCAAGTCAAGTCTAACTTGTCTGCTTTGAGTTTCAAGTCATTTCAAGTCTTTAAACCAATGCATCAAATATAGCTTAGATTTTTGCAATTCATATGAATTTTAAAGTAGATCATATTAAAAAGTCATGGTATATTTTATTAAGAGTTGTAAAAGTGTTATTTTTTTTCCTTTTTAAATGTCTTGACAAGATCTTAGTGTGAATCATTACAGTCAGATTAGAAATAATTCAGATTTTAATGTTTTAAGCCGACGTACACTGTGTGGTTTTTCGCCCTTTTTGAGCCGATTTTTCACTCATGTGACTGTTTTGGGGATCGGGCCGAGTTTTGGCTTCACCGCAGTCGTGCTTCGGGTAGTAAACATGAGGTAAAGAGAACCGATTAATACATCACGACCAGCTCCTGATGGACATTCGTAGGTCGCAAGAAAATCAAACTTGTTTGAAATCCAGTCGCCTCTCGTGACGGTTTTGCGCTGTTGAAGTTGTTCCACGAGGAGATTTGCCTGAATCTGTCAGACTGAGTATGCGCGGACACAGAAGAGAAAGCAGGATATGAGGTTGTGGAGGACGATGGCACCGGTGAGTGTTTTGGACACAGGACATGGAGGAGCAGCTAATCCAGCAACACAGAACAGAAGTTTGGTGAAAAACCTGATGCTACATACCACCAGTTCCTTCTGAAGAACTGACCCATAAACTGTCTGCCCACATCTGCCCACGTCTGCCCACGTCTGCCCACGTCTGCCCACGTCTGCCCACGTCTGCCCACGTCTGCCCACGTCTGCCCACGTCTGCCCAGCCATTTCATTGACCAGATTCGTCGCCTCTACTTTTTGGGCTTGTCTGCGCAGAGAATGGCACAAATTGCCAAAGCAGCGCGACTGTTTTTTTGCCTGGATCAGCTTTGTGTCTCCGCACGTCTGTGGTTTTCTAATTCCGTGTTTTTCTTCTTCGTGGTTTTCTACTTCCGGAACAACAAGTCCTCCGGTCGTTATGTGATCGTACAGTGTGCACAGGAAGGTCACGTTCAAGCATCGATTCGTACAGTGTGAGAACATGATTCATGAGCTGTGAACTTTTAAACCGATTTGGTCGTACAGATTAAGATGGGGCTGAGTGACACAACTGAAAATATAGCACAGTGTACACCCGGTATTAGACAAAGCATCAAGTCTTCTCAAGTCAAAGGTCTCAAGTTCAAGTCGAGTCCCAAGTCTCAGTCCATTTTATCAAGTCAAGCCTAAAGTCCTAAAAATAGTGACTCAAGACTCGAGTCCAAGTCATGACGTCCAAATCCCCACCTCTGGCATGCGGCGCACTGTTGTCACATTTACGGCGACGTCAGCTCCCACCACGTTCTCACACAGAAGTCAGTAGTCTTTTTTTAAACTAAGTTGTTTTAGATGAATATTGTGATTAAAAAGTCTAAATCATAACAAAATGATCCACAAGTGTCACAGATTATAACTACAGAGCAAATACAAGCACGATACATCTGATTTAAGTAAAGTCTGTTTCTGCCTTAGAGCTTCGTGCTGCTTTAGTTCTGGTTCTATCTCTTTAATAGTGTTTTAATTATGTATTTTTCCATTTAGTTTGCAGATATTTCACCGCAGTTGGATCTACATAAACAGATTAATTGCAGCAGCTCCACACTCAGTGCACAAAGCCAGGCTCATTACCTCTGCTTTCACTTCCCAACATGACAAAAAAACATAAACTTATAAACCGGAGCTAATGGAGAACGATTGGACCATAAATCGGAGAAAATAATTAGGTCTAAACTGTGCAGATGTGAGGAGGGTCTGTGGAGAGCGAGGGGGAGGATTTTTAAAACAGTAAACAGCGCCACGTGTCAAACGGTTTACACAGAGTCACAGGAATATCGGCTAATTGGTCCCAGATCCAAGTGTGAGAAGAGAAATTAGAACCAATAAACTAAATAAAGAAACGACAGAAGAAGAAAAATGAAAGAGGGTGAAAACACGGGGCGAAAGTGAAGACAAAATCAGCAGTGTTTGTAATTACATCAGAGACAGATAGAACACGGCTCAAGTGCTGTTTATCTCACTAAACTCTGTTCACTTACGATGAAGGTTCAATTCCAACATCATTTTCATCTGATAAATCTAAATCAATATTTCTGAGTTTAGTCCTGGATTAGTCCTGGTTCAGATCTGGTGTACTCCTCGTTCAGTTTGGTTTGGTTTGGTTCTGGTTCAGTACTTGTTTAGTCCTGGTTTAGGTCTAGTTTAGTACTAGTTTAGTTCTGGTTCAGTCCTGGTTTAGTCCTGGTTTGATCCTGGTTTGGTCCTGGTTTGGTCCTGGTTTGGTCCTTAGTCTTGGTTTAGTCTTGGTTTAGTCTTGGTTTAGTCCTGGTTTAGACCTGGTTTAGACCTGGTTTAGTCTTGGTTTAGTCTTGGTTTAGTCTTGGTTTAGTCTTGGTTTAGTCTTGGTTTAGACCTGGTTTACATCTGGCTAAGACCTGGTAAGGTCCTGGTTTAGTCCTGGTTTAGTCCTGGTTTAGACCTGGTTTAGTCTTGGTTTACATCTGGCTTAGACCTGGTAAGGTCCTGGTTTAGTCCTGGTTTAGTCCTGGGTTGATCCTGGTTTACATCTGGCTTAGACCTGGTTAAGTCCTGTTTTAGTCCTGGTTTAGTCTTGGTTCAGTCCTAGTTTGCTCTTGGTTTAATCCTGGTTTAGATCTGCTTTAGTCCTGGTTTAGTCTTGGTTCAGTCCTGGTTTAGTCTTGGTTCAGTCCTGGTTTAGTCCTGGTTTAGTCCTGGTTTAGTCCTGGTTTAGTCCTGGTTTAGTCCTGGTTTAGTCCTGGTTTAGTCCTGGTAGAGGCTCCGTGGTTAGAGCAGTGGTCGCCCAACCAAAAAACCTGAAAGACTGTTGTTGTTTCCTTAGGCAAAACACTTCACCAACATTGCCTGGTCAGAGGGGCTGATGGTGCAGCTGGGAAGTCTTACTTCTGTCAGTCTGTCCCAGGGCAGCTGTGACTATAATGGTAACTGTAATTGTGGTCATACCTTCTTGTCAAAGCCTGGTGTTTCAATCCTGGTCCAGTCCTGGTCCAGTCCTGGTCCAGTCCTGGTCCAGTCCTGGTCCAGTCCTGGTCCAGTCCTGGTCCAGTCCTGGTCCAGTCCTGGTCCAGTCCTGGTCCAGTCCTGGTTTAGTCCTGGTTTAGTCCTGGTCCAGTCCTGGTCCAGTACCTTCTCTGTGTCTATGCCCTTGGACATGGACCAGGTGGAGACGATGTAGTCCATGACCCTCTCGCTCAGACCTTTGGGGACCTGGTAGAGTTTGAGGAAGTCTCGGACGTTGTTGAGCATCTCGTGGTAGCGGTTGGTGTTGGCGTACATCTGCTGGAAGATGGTCGTCACGTTTCCAAAGATGGTGGCATAAAGCAGAGCTGCAAAAGAGACAGAAGAAAATATTTATTCTGGAATTTAATTTAAAGGTCTAATATTACACAAAGTCGACTTTTGTGAGCTTTAGGCCATGTTACAAAGTTGTTCCCTCTTCAGAAACACACCTGGAGTTGTGTTTTCTTTCATTCACATGTTTGAGTAACACTTTATTATTAGTCTGTCTACATCTTTAAAGCTCAAGATGCTGTTCCACCTTGTGATGTCATGAAGTGGTAGTTTTCAAGTGAACAGCTCCTTTTACCTTTGGAGATTAAAGTTTGAGATTTCAGGGCTGAAATTGTCGCTAAAAACATTGTATTATCATATTTTATTAGCTTCACTTCTGTTCTGGACCCTCTACCCCTCCCTTTGCTCTCCCTGTTAAGTCACTCCCCCTTCAGAGCGCTATCACAATAGAATCAGCATGCATCCCCCTCTACTCTCTCTCCTCCTTCTCTCCTTTCACCCCCTTTCTCTCGTTTCCTTCTCTCTCCTCATTCTCCTTTCTCTACCCCCTTCCTCTCCTCTCACTTTCTCTCCTCTCCTCCTCCTTCTCTCTCACCTCTCATCCCCCCTCTCCTCCTTGTCCTTTCTCTTCTCTCTCATACCTCTCCCCTCATCCCCTTCTCCTACCCGTCTTTCCCTTCTCTCTCCTTCTTCTCTCTCTCCTCTCTCATACCCCCTCTCCCCTCCTCCCTTTCCCCTTGTCTCTCATACCTCTTTCCCCTCATCCCCTTCTCCTACCCCTCTGTCCCTTCTCTCTCTTTCTCCTCTCTCCTTTCTCTCATACCTCTCTCTTCTCCTCTCCCTCTCCCCTCTCTCATACCTCCCCCCCTCCTCTCTTCTCCCTCCCTCCCTCTCATCCCCCTCTCCTCCCCCTTTCTCCTCCCTCTCCCCTCTCTCTCCTTGTCCTCTTTCCTCTCCTCCCCTTCCTCTCCTCTCTCCTCTCTCTATCATACCTCTCTCCTTCCCCTTCTCTCTCCTTCTCCTCTCTTCTCTCTCTCATCTCTCTCTCCTCTCCTCCACAGATGTAATTGGGACTTTTGCAGTAATAGCCCCCCTCCTCTTCCTCTTCGTCGTCCTCCTCCTCCTCGTCGTCTGTGTTATAGATCTTATTATTTTCACATTAGGTTAAACACAGAGTCTGTTTATGGAGCGAAGAGTGAAGCAAATAAAGTTTAAAATTAGAAAAACTGACCTGCAAAACTCTGAGGGATCATGAGACAGAGAAACTGCAAAGTACTGGACAAAACCAGGACAAAACCAGAACTAAACCAGGACTAAATCAAGACTAAACTAAAAAAAACTAAAACAAAAAAAAGATTATCTATAATATAAATCTATCTATCTATCACCATGTATGGTAGGACTTAACCAAGCTTAAACTCGGTCTGAACCACAACTTCACCAGGTCTGAACCAGGACTAAATAAGGTCTAAAAAAAGAACTAAACCAGGACTATGCCAAGGTTTAAAATAGCATTAGACCTGGTCCTGGTTCAGTTCTGGTTCAGTACTGGTTCAATTCTGGTTTAGTCCTGGTTTAGTCCTGGTTTAGTCCTGGTTTAGTCCTGGTTGAGTCCTGGTTGAGTCTGGTTGAGTCCTGGTTCAGTTCTAGTTTAGTCCTTGATTAGTTCTGGTTTAGTTCTGGTTTAGTTCTGGTTTAGTGCTGGTTTAGATCTAGTTTAGTGCTGGTTTAGATCTAGTTTAGTCCTGATTTAGTCCTGTATTAGTTCTGGTTTAGTTCTGGTTTAGAAGAACTAAACCAGGACTATCCCAAGTTTTAAAATACCATTAGACCAGGATTAGACCAGGACAAAACCAGGATTGAATCAGGACTAAACCAGGACTAAACCAGGATTAAACCAGGACTAAACCAGGACTAAACCAGGACTAAACCAGGACTAAACCAGGACTAATCCAGGACTAATCCAGGACTAATCCAGGACTAATCCAGGACTAATCCAGGACTAATCCAGGACTAATCCAGGACTGCTTGTGTGGATAAATTTCACATGTAAATGGTTTTATTTGAACGCAGCGTCTTCCAAATGGTTTCATGTCGTGTAATCACTATACGAGCCAATAAAGTCACTCAGCCAATAACTGTAGAACAAAAACCCTTTAATTGTTCGTTCCCAGTCTGTTTCTATTAGCTGTCTGTGCGCTCAAATCCATATTCTCCCGCTCTCTCCGTACTTTCTCTCCGTTCTCTCTCCCTCTCTCTGTGCGTCTCCTAATGAGGGTCTAATTTTCTTTTGTGATTCCTTTTATTGTTTTGGAGTAAAATCGATGTGATTCTTTCTCTCTCTGTGTGGAAACCAGAGCCTTTACCGTTAATTTGACGCTTTAATTTGGTCTCAGATACAGATACATGGATTTTACATTTACAAAGTCCCGAAGGGTTTAAATGGAAGAGGGAACCAGGACTAAACCAGGACTGAAACTGGATTAAACTATAGGATAACACCAGGACTAAACCAAGACAAAACCAGGACTAAACCAGGACTGAAACTGGATTAAACTATAGGATAACACCAGGACTAAACCAAGACTAAACCAGGACTAAACCAGGACTAAACCAGGACTAAACCAGGACTAAACCAGGACTAAACCAGGACTGAAACTGGATTAAACTATAGGACTAAACCAGGACTAAAGCAGGATTAAGACAAGACTAAAAAACAGACTAAAATCAGAACTACAAAAGGACTATGAAGGACTACAAAAGGACTAAAGCAATTTTAAACCAGAACTAAAGCAGGACTAAAGCAGGACTAAACCAGGATTAAGATAAACCAGGGCATAACCAGATTTGAAGTTAGACTCAAACCAGAATTTAACCAGGCCTCACCAAGGGATTTGCCATGTCTAAATCAGGTCTAAATGAGGACTCGGTCAAAAGCAGGTCAAAAGCAGGTCTAGACCAGGCCTTAATCAGAAGTGTCTGTTCACTTCTATTGATTCTCATGTTTTACCTTTGACCTTTTAACATTTCAATATTCTGTCTTTTGAACCAATTATCCCTGAGCACTGAGTCTGGGGACATCTGCAGAAAAGAACCCACTGGAGATCAGAGAAGAACCTGTTACAGTCCTGGTTTAGACCTGATTTAGACCTGGTTTAAGCATAGTTTAGACCTGGTTTAGAACTATTTTAGATTTGGTTTAGACCTGGTTTAGACCTGGTTTAGACCTGGTTTAGACCTGGTTTAGACATAGATTAGTCCTGGTTAGGGATGGGCATGATTAATCGATAATTGATCATTAAGAATTTCATCGATTACGTTAATTTTAATCGACAAACCGAATGTAGGTTGCTGTCCGAAGCGTGACCAAACAGGGGTCCGTACATGTGTCTCTCTGCACTCAGAAGGAGCGAGCAAACACAAACAGTAGGTCAGTCTGCAGCGTACCGAAGCACAAATGTGTATTTAACGATGATTTGTACAAGAAATTCCACACTTTCCGTTGCGTTCGGGACAAGTGGGAGTCCATGTGCACAGTCCATGTGCACAGTCCATGTGCACAGTCCATGTGCACAGTCCATGTGCACAGTCCATGTGCACAGTCCATGTGCACAGTCCATGTGCACAGCGAACAAAGCGGGAACATATGTTTCGGTGTCCAGTGGGAAAAAGTTTTACCAGGTGAGAGTCGCGCAATGTCGATGACGAGTCCCCACCTCCCTCCCCCCGTACAGTGTCCTGGTTTTGACAAACGCAAATCTGGTCACACTAACCTGTATTCCACTGAATCATGTCTTTTAATCCAACAGAAACTGAACCTGAAGAGCTTTAGTTTTATCTTCGCTGAGTTTATGCAAATTAGCGATGCGGTTTTAAGTTTCTTTTCTGTGAGAGTTGCGCAAAACTGAATTAAACAAATTATAATGTCAAACGGATTGATGTGGCTCTAGAGTCGTTACGGTTTATATGTCGTAAAGTTGAATTTATTTATGCGGATTAGTAGTGCAGATAGTAATAATAATGATGATCATTTTAATATAAAAACGTTAATGATTAATCGATAATCGATCGTTAATTCTTCCGACGATCGATTAAGAAAATTTCATCGAATGCCCATCCCTAGTCCTGGTTTAGTCCTGGTTTAGTCCTGGTTTAGTCCTGGTTTAGACCTGGTTTAGACCTGGTTTAGTCCTGGTTTAGACCTGGTTTAGACCTGGTTTAGACATAGATTAGACCTGGTTTAGTCCAGTATTCGACCATATTTAGTCCAAGTGTTCTGATCACAGTTCTGGTTTAGTCCTGGTTTAGTTCTAGTCTCATCCCTTTAAAGCTCAGAATGTGAGTACTGGTAAATGCATCTGAATAAAATGTGTAGATTTAAAGATTACAGAAAAATGACATTAGACTTTAACGTTGATCCCATCTACAGGATCAGACTTTTACTGAGCTGCAGCACAGAATCAAGATCAGGGCTTAGAGCGAAACGGACAATGAAAAAACCTGCTGTTTGTGAATAAAATTATAAAAATCTGTTCTATATTAACATACGTGGGAGGGCATCTGACGCATAGGGATAGAGGAGGATGGGAGGGCATCTGACACAGGGATAGAGGAGGATGGGAGGGCATCTGACACAGGGATAGAGGAGGATGGGAGGGCATCAGGCATAGCAATGACGTGAGCAAACTCAAATATGTGAACCTAATATTTGTGCTTCCTGAAATAGTACCTCACTGTAATATCCTGAACCACATAAAGTGATCAAACATGTGATATTAGGGTCAAATTGATCTTAAATGTTTAAATGGTTGTAGTTTACACGACCTCTAACCTCTGACCTCTGACCTCTCCTGTCTTTTTATGAGTCCACTGCTTTGCCTGTTTGTTTGGCAGTGGATGAGTCTGACACACTCACCTCACTGCAAGAAGGTTTCTGGTTCAACTCTCAGGTCTTTCAGTGGATGGGTCAAATGCAAAGACACCTATTTGGTCCTGATGTAGACTTGGGTTGGTCCTGTTCTAGTCGAAGTTTAGT